CACCTCTATGTACAGGTAGTTGTAGTCTCACCTCTATGTACAGGTAGTTGTAGTCTCACCTCTATGTACAGGTAGTTGTAGTCTCTCTCAGCCAGCTGGATGAACACGGCGAACAGAGAGAGGACGGGTCTCGTGCTGAAGAAGGTGCACTCAGACCAGACCACGGCCACGCTGAACAGGGTCAGGACCACAGACAGGAGCCGGTAGAACCAGACCTTCAGGAGGCACTCCCAGAACCACTCTGTACACACACAAGTACTGTACTTAGCTACAAAGTTAAAGTACTTTTTACTTCATCTCAGAGGTAAAACTCTCAGAGAATAGAACACATTATTAGAGATTAAACCAGCGGTTTTCAACCGCTTTTTGGCTGACAGATAATCTGTGTTTGAGTCGAGATGTTTCTGAAGGATTAGTAGTTTCACCAAAACGATATTTCACAGCTACACTTCTGAAATCCAAGATTTCATAAACATGATGAGAGAAAAGTTCCTCTTTCTCTCTGTCATTACTCATTTCTATTGTCAAAGCTTCTCTTTGTATTTATTGTAAGTTTGTTTATATCCTGACAAAAAGTAATAATACTTTTCTTTACAGAGATGAAAGGTGCCCTGAGGAAGTCTTTCTACTGACGCTGTGTGAACCGATGAGGTCTCACTAACACGACGAAGGCTTCTTCTTCCTCACAAAACACTTTAGAAGAACTTCAAACCGACACTGTGGCTTTAAGTCTTCTTCTTCCTTTTCTACATTTCTTGTCACATTACTGCGACCAACAGGTACTGGAATCCTGAGAAGTACTGGGTATTTGTGTGTACATGAAGAAGATGCAACCTAGACAGGGACCCACTCATAAAATCATCTACTAGTGGTCAAATACTGCACCGTCATCACTCTGATGTGGGTTCTATCTCCTCAACCCTCTAAACGCCAAAACCCCCAAGCAACATTGAAAAACCTGTTTTCTTTTAAACAATCGCCAAAACTGCACCACTCATCACACACAGCTGTAAAAACCAACATTATCGTGAGATTCTCATCTTTCCAACGGTCCTCGAACACATCATGTGTGACAAACGCTTACGTTAATAAAAGAAGCTTAACATATTGATATTTCATATAAACATTTTATTCTTCATGTCTCATTATAAATGTCTCCTCTAATAAAGAGTTCACTTTAACCAGAATGTGTAAAAACATTAAAGTGTGAAACTATGACTTCATGATTGATTCATCTGAGACCAACAGTCATGTGACTACAAGGAGGAGACACTCTGACTGAACTACAGGAAGTGAACACAGAGCGGAGAGGAGAGGAGAGGAGAGGAGAGGCTGGAGGCCCCGACTCACCTACAGTCGATGTGTACACGTATGTGCTGAACCAGCCGGCCGGCTCAGAGGACGGGAAGCTGTGGACGAACTGGTGGGTCGTACTGGTCTCGTTCTTGGCCACGTCCTCCAGGTGGATGGCCTGCTGCAGGAGGATCTGCCACTGGACCCGAGTCCTGTTGTGTCTCTGGACCGCATAGATCACCTGGACACACACACACACGTGAACCTGGAGCACTCAATAGGTATGAACATGTACATCATTCATGAATCACATCAAATAAAATGGAGATGATTCTGGTTTTACTGGACCTCAGTCTACTTCCTGTCTCCCCTGTGGTGCCCCACAAGGCTCTGTTTCAGGCCCACTCCCGTTTTCATTTTACATGCATCGTTTTTGGGAGATTACTCACAATTATAATCATATTTGTTGACCTTATTTGCAGACGATACACAGCTGTTTGTACCTATGACACCTGGTGACACTCATTAAATGAGTATATTAAGTGCATTCGTCCTCTAAACTGCATCCAGCTGATACGTTAAACCCTCTCGTCTACAGTCCTGAACCTGTAGCTAAACACCTGGAAGTCCTAAAGAAACTTACTTTTGATGCTCAAGTTAAGATGGGTGGACAGTTTTGCTTTACTTATGAATATAAATATAAATTTACGCAAACTAAGCAGCTGAGCTCCAAACCAGTTGGTGGAAACGCACCAAAATACACATTTCTTCTTCAAAAGTTCGCCTGAAATCCACCCAACAACTGATCAGAATCACGACTTGTGTCAAGTTGTTCTTCTGTAGTGGTATTTCCTGTTGACTTGTTTCCTGCGGTATCTTTCTTCTTCTCACCTGTTTGTGGAGCTTCACCAGACTCTTCTCACTGGGATACGCGTTCTGTTTGTCGTCAAAGTCCTCGTAGTCGTCCATGTTCCTGCCCATCTTCTCCTGGTAGTCCACCGGACACTGAGGGGGGGGGGGGGCAGGTCAGATCAGTGTACCCGGTCTATGAACACTGAGTCACTGCTGGTAAAGTACTTCCTCTTACCTTTCTGAGAATCGTATCGATGTACTTCCTCAGTGGATGGTTGTACTTGATGGACTCACTGACTTTTCTCACCTCCTGCAACAAAAACCAGACTCCAGAGTTAAAATGGTGAAATGAAGAATGAAGCCGACCCTCACAGGCGAGTTCCTCCGCTCACCTCCATGACGTCCTCCAGGTTCTCCTCTGCGTCCGCCTTCTCCGTCATCAGCTTGGAGGCCTTGAAGTAGGTCTTGATGAGCAGGTGTCCGTGGCGTGAGGCGTTCCAGTAGGACCGGGGGATCTCCACCAGACCATAGCCCAGCAGCAGCACCAGCAGGAACAGGCCCCAGGTGTTGGCCGCCGTGATGCCGATGGTCTGCAGCTCGTACCTGAGTCACAGGAACCACAGGAGGTCCAGACAGGAAGTGATGTCTCACACACGCTGACATGTGCTGCATGTTTACTAAGTAAAGCTGATTTTATACTCGCTGTACTGGAGCTCTAGCTACATGTGGAGGGGTTCTACAAAGTAGCTCAATTAGAAACAGGACGTCTTAAAAATCTACAAATCAAACAGTCTACAGGACGTTTAACCTTTGTTTCTTTATTATACATTTAATACTTGTTCCTTTACGGTTCTTCTACGACACCAAGCGATTATAAACAAAGGCTTAATCAACCTGCAGTTCAACAGAGCGTCTTCTCCAGGTCTCCAACAGATCTCCAGTCACACCACCAGAACCAGGACCACTGATTCAGATCATAAGACCCGTCCACTCTGGACCCCCTAACCTTAACTCTAACTCACCGTCCTCGCGGTGAACTCACCGTGACGACAGTGAACTCACCGTGACGACAGTGAACTCACCATGACAGGTGCCACTCAGGATGAACGGCCACGTAGATGAGCAGCGAGCCGAAGATCAGCAGGTATGTCCCGTAGTAGATGGCGTTCTCTATCAGAGCCGTTTTTATCTTCCCGGTGATGGAGAACCCTCCGGAGCGAGCGTAGGACTGCATGAAGGGCAGCAGCAGCCTGGAGAGAGAGAACACGATATAATATGTATATATAAATATGTATATATTGAAATATAAGTATATATCTAAAAAGTTTATCATACGAACCACGTGAGACACTGGGACGTCCAGTACACCACCCTCCAGAACACGGGCATGATGCCATCTGGGATGTAGCTCCACGGCTTGTAGCACGGCTTTAATACGCTCCTACAGAGGAGGAGGAGGAAAAAGAGGAGGAGGAAGAGGAAGAGGAGGGGGAAGAAGAGGAGGGGGAAGAAAAGGAGGGGGAGGAGTATATAAATCTAGTATCTCATTGATAACGAGGTGAGATGTGTGTCATCACATGATTGATTTAGGTGAACTCAGATTAAAGTGCTCGTTAACACATACTTCTAACATCCTGATGAAGTGGTTCTTTTAGAGCCATTTGTAGTTGAGTGAGAGAACATCACACCAAACTACATCTTCTGGATGTAAAAACATGTCGTGAGCTTTAAATCGTCTACTGATGTTCATGAAGCTGTAATACTGACTCACCTCTTGGTGGGCGTGGCAGAGGCGTTAGCCGGCGTGTGATTGGCTGGAGAGGGGCTGAGGGTGGGGGCGTGGTCCTCGTGGTCGAGCTTACACTGCTTGTAGATGGTCTGAGGACAGAAGAACAGGTTTCAGTAGCGTCTCCATCTGAGGGACAGACGGGTGGACGTCTCCGTCGGTACCCACCGTGCTGACGTCCAGAGGTAAGATGAAGACGATGAGGAAGCACAGGTACCAGGCCAGCAGCGTGCCGAACAGAACCATGCGCTGCTGCTTCCTGAAGTCTCCATACCGGTGCAGCAGGAACAGCGCCAGGAAGAACACCACCACGATCTCAATGCCCAGAGCGGCTCCACTCATCTCCAGCAGCACCAGCACAGACCTGCAGGGGACCCAGAACCAGAACCAGGTCATGTGGACTGTACAGGACTGAACCAACAAGAGGAAACATGCAGACTGACGATAATATTTCATAAAACACAAATGATCCTTCTGCTGAAGACAATTTGCCGATTGTCCTTTTAGATTCATACTTCTGAGACATCGTGAGTTGAGCTTCTGTTATTGTGATAATTATTGACGTCATAGGGAGGACTTGGTTTAACAGACTATTTTAAACCGCACGACTAAGAATCAATATGTAGTCGTTCATCTGCTGTCGGCGACTGTGGCTAAGTGGAGAGCAGGGCCGTCCTTCAATCAGAGGATCGGCGGTTCGATCCCTGGCTCCGCTAGTCGCATGTGTCCTTGAGCAAGACACTTAACCACAAAATGTCTCCCGTAGCTGTGCCTACGGTGTATGCATAGAATCTGAATTGTAAGTCGCTTTGGATAAAAGCGTCTGCTAAATGACTGTAATGTAATGTCTGTCTGTCCTTCAATCAAAGTATGATTCATAATCAGAGAACTGGAGGAAGCATTTAGATTTACTGACAGATAGTCAGATATATATATATATATATATATATATATATACACACATATATACACATATATATATATACACATATATATATATATATATATATATATA